ACTGCCCTTCTTTGGGATTGGGATGTAGACTGATCTTTTCCAAAGTTCTGGCCACTGCTGAGTTTCCAAAACTTGCTGGCATATTGAGTGCAGCACCTTAATAGCATCATATTTGTAAGATTTAAAATAGTTCAACTGGAATGCCATCACCTCCACCGGCCTTGTTGTTAGCCATGCTTTCTAAGGCCCATTTGACTTCACTCTCCAGGATGTCTGGCTCAAGGTCAGCAGCCACACTATCTGGGTTGTCTGGGACACCCAGATCTTTCTGGTATAATTCCTCTGTGTATTCTTGCCACCTCTTCTTGATGTCTTCTGATCCCTAGGTACCCCCTTTCGGCATGATATGAAAATCACTGTTGGTGATCCCGTTCCTGTTCTGATATTAACGCCCCGCCCCATCCCAAGGCTCCTGAAAACCATTATGCTTAGCAGCAATATTGCAGCACGTACAGAATCTACACACACAGCTTTCAAACTGGCGGCAACCCGCAACAACAAAAGAAACGCTGGCCCCGCCCGCTTCCCTCTAGCTGGGCACCACTTCCTGTTTTCTGCCAGAGCGCCTGCGCAGCCTCCAAAGGCAGAAGCAAAATGACAACAATGGGGAGCGGAGACGCGCAAGATCTCTTTATGCCTTCGAACGGGCTCGCAGTGGATGGCCGAGTTCATGGATGAGGGAGGAGCCGAGGAGAATCTTGCCGCGGCGTTGTTTCGCGTAGACGCCCTCAGGAGCCGTTGCTGACGACCGTTGGAAGGTGAGTGTGCAACGAGAGGCCGGGATACAGGCGGGAGGGGCGTGGGCGTCTTCGGCCAGCGGTCCTTTCGCTCCGTTGCACCTCCCGGCTTGTGACTCGGTCCTCCTTTCATTTTCCCTTCCCCGTGGCCTTGGATTAAGAAGGGGACCTTGCTGCCTACCTACCCACCCGCCCTGCCTTCGTCTTTAAAACAAATACCTGCCTGGCGGGCGGTTCTTTAGTCACGGCAGGTTCCCTCTGAGGCTGGGAGCGAGAGCGCGGGGCGGGGAGGTGGGGAGAAGACGGGGAGCTTGCCCGGTGCATTTGGGGGCCGCCGCCTCCGCGAAGCTTTCGCCGCTTTGCCCGTCGGACGAGCGGCCGACTCTGGGAAGCGGCTTGGGTGCGCGACCAGCCTCTGTCGTGGGAAACGCCGCGTGTGGGTCTTCCTCTGGGCTGGTAAAAAAAACGGCTTTTTATGCCGTTAAGTTACAGGTGAGCACGTGGCGGCCGTCCAGGTGTGGGTGTGCTGCAATTCTTAGTCGTTGTAGCCAGAATTGCTAGTAAGAGGACATCACGGGAGTGGCATCATCCCACCATAACTGTACGGTCATAACAACTTCACTCCTAAAAACTGAGTTCTGGCATTTAGCGCAGAAGTACCACTGGAGCTTCATAGGAAAACACCCACAACCCCGTGATTTGCATTCGGACAGCCCCTGGAGAATCCCTCTTGCTGAGAGATGCAGCAAGATTCTCCATAGGCAGTGCTTTTTTTTTTCTTTAACTGTCTTCTGTGTAGTGGCTGTTCATTTTTACATGGGGGGGGAAGGAATATGCTGGGCAGAACACAAAGATGGGTGGTACATCCACCCAGCTGTTGAGAATAATTGGGGTGGGGTGCAAGTTACTTTGTAACAGGATATGCTATGTTGATTTAAAGACTAATACCCCTTTTTTGACAAGTTTTTGTGGACTGCAGACCGCTTCATATAATAGTGTATGTTGCTACTGCTTAATCTGTTGATCAATATTGTCATCTCTGGCTCTGTTTCTTTATTTTTATCTTAGAACTGCAGAGCTGGAAGGGACCCTATGGATCATCGAGAAAATAGGGAAAATGTGAGGAGTTGGGTTTAGTTACTTTAGTATAAATGTAGGCTCAATTCAGTAGTTTAGAGGAATAGAAAGACTGATGGTTTAATGCAAGGGTACACATTCCACAGTTGCTGACCAGGAAGCTTCCCCCCCCCCAACCCTGTTAGTTGAGACAGCAGTTCACTGAAAATTTAGTAAGGGATCAGAGGGAGAAAGTCAGTGTAGCGGAATCCAAAAAGGTGACATCATTCCTGCCTGTCCATCACAGCAGAAAAGGGGGAGGAGCCAAGGATAGAGCAGGAGGGGCGGAGTTAGAGTGACAGTTAGGGGGAGTTGAAGAGTCAGTTAGAGACAGTTGGAGTTAGGTAGAGGTAGAAAGAGTCAGGGACCAGAAGATGTACAGAGGGTTAGGAATAGATTAAAGGGGTTTAGGAGAGAAAATTGAAAGTAAAACACATATAACAAGCAGGAATGAACATATAAGCATAACAAGAGAGATATAAAATTGATAGTAAAATGATTGACTGCATGATCTTAAAAGTATTAACACCTGAACAAACTCATATATGATTTTCCTGTTGTTTTGGTTAATAATAAAATAATAAGGTAAAAAGGTAAAGGTACCCCTTGACAATTTTTTGTCCAGTCGTGTTCGACTCTAGGGGGCGGTGCTCATCTCCGTTTCCAAGCCATAGAGTCAGCGTTTTGTCCGGAGACAATCTTCCATGGTCACATGGCCAGTGTGACTTAGACACGGAACGCTGTTACCTTCCCACCAAGGTGGTCCCTATTTGTCTACTCGCATTTCCATGCTTTCGAACCGCTAGGTTGGCGGGAGCTGGGACAAAGCGACGGGAGCTCACTCCGTCGCGTGGATTCGATCTTACGACTGCTGGTCTTCTGACCCTGCTGCACTGGTTAAAAATATGTAGAGAAGGTGATAATAATATTGTAAGAGAAAAATATGTACTGAGAAAACTGTTAATGATTTGCTTGTGTACAATGATTATCTGAAGAACTTCTGTTATTATTAAATCTGATTCACTTCAATAAATAAGTTCAGTTTGTATTCACAAGGCAAGTGTTCTGACAAACATCATTTATATTGTGGACTGAGGTAATCCACTGGTGGCAGCGAGAGGAAAATGTGACATGAACCGTTGTGAGGGCAAAACACGTAGGTGCCAGAAAGGTGAACACCACACTCACATATATGGGCCATGTGCCTATGTAGAGATCTATTTGGAATACTCTGTAATTGAGTATGTTTTGGTGGGAACCCCCCAACTAATATGTGTATGCTTCAGTGAAGTCACCTCTGTTCTTTTCATCTGCTGCCTGAGCAGCAGCATTTAGGAAATGTTCTTTTTTGTCAGCTTTTGGTCTCACTGAGTAGCTAATTTGTATTTTTTAATTTTTTTGTATACAGTTATGAGGCTGAACTGTTTTGTGTTTTGTATTCATATTTTTCTCTTGTGATGTTCCTGCTTTATATGGTTGCATCCTCAAGGTTTGGGGGTAGGGAATTGCCCCTTCCAACAAACTATTTGTTTAGGAGTTGATTTCCCTCAGACTTGTGCAACGTGTGCAGGGTTTACTACATGAGGAGTTAAAAATAGAGAATGCATTAGGTCAGAATGAGTTTTACAATCTTGGCTTAGGTAAGAGTTACTAGGGTTTGTGGTGCATGTTGGTGTTTAGCAACTTCAGACTTTTATATTGCATATTAACTCCAAAGGGCTTTTCCAGTGTGTCTAGTCTGAGAACAATGTACTGGAGAGTAAGAGCTTGGAGGTGTCTAACGTACTTATGTCTTAGAAGTTAAAAGCAGGTAAGAGGCTATGTGGAATACACCTTCAAGTACTGAAGTTCAATTTAGCATATAAATAAGAAATGATTAGTTTGTTCCTTTTTTTACTTTTTTAAAAACTGGATTAAACCAACAAAGAGTCTTTTGGCAACTGAAAGACTAACAAGTGCATTATAGCACAAGCTTTTGTCAATTGTAATTATTTTATCTTAGCTCAGATGAACCATACAGTCTTAGTTGGCAGGTATAGGGTGCTTCCAGATGGAGGGCTCTGCTTGCTAGCAATTAGAAGGCACTGTGCAACTATTCTGTCTCTCTCTCCTTAACAGATTTTCCATGGTAAGGAAAAAAGAAAAGAAAAGGAGGGCGATGCAGAAATATAGGAGAATTTTGAGTGGACGATGACTGTCTGAAGGCCCTGCAAAACTGTGGCTGAAATCCACTTGCACAGCTTTGTGCCATGCAGTTAGGATGATGTCATAATCCCATGATAGGAATTTATTTATTTATTTATTTATTTATTGGACTTCTATACCGCCCCATAGCGCTACAAGCACTCTCCGGGCGGTTTACAATTTTTAATTATACAGGCTACACATTGCCCCCCCAGCAAGCTGGGTACTCATTTTACCGACCTCGGAAGGATGGAAGGCTGAGTCAACCTAGAGCCGGCTACCTGGGATTTGAACCCCAGGTCGTGAGCACGGTTTTAGCTGCAGTACATTAATTGAACACTTGCTATCCCCCCCTTTCATGTTGCAAGACTCCCTAGCGCTCCCTTTTAACCTTGCGGAGTCTCAGGATGGGTGGAGGGAAGCCTTTAATCATCAAAAATTACTGCCAGCTCACTACCCACAGGATTGGAATCTCTGGCAGAAATTTGATTATTATGTTTGGCTATTAAAGCTCCCTCCCCCTTTCTGAGCCTTCCAGAATCTCCCCCAGTGCAAAAAGGAACCCTAGGAAGCCTCAAAATGAGGGAGAGGATAGGAAACTATCAATTAATTTACATTAAATATTTCTATTGTAGTATTATAACTGCATCTTACTTTCTTGGTGTACCATCAAAATAATTCCAGCCCGTGAATGAAGCTGTGCAGTGGCTTCACAGAAGCCCCATCTGGTAGTGCTCATATGCTGCCATGGTTTGGAGGCAGAGGAACCATAAACAGTTCAGAGGGAAGTGAAATGTAGAATATTCAGAGGGAGGTGGGACTTCATTGCAGCAAGACTGGTCAGATTTCAGGAGAGCTGAGCACATAATTTCTTAAATTATCTAATTTTATACACAAGGGGTTTATAATTTGGGATTTTTCCCCACTTTTAATAGGTTTATAATTTGGGATTTTTTCCCTCTTTTAATAGTATTGTATTTGATTTATGTATTTTTTGTGTTTAAGTCTGTTTGCTCTATTGATTTAGGGTAATTGTTTCTTTATTAGTTTCTTTTCTTTTCTCTTTTGGATATGGAGTAGAAGGCTTGTCCGCCTAGCGAGGGGCCCAGGAACATTCTGGTGATTAAGAGGGAGATAATGGCGTTGGCACAGTCCCTGCTCATGTCAGAAGAACAATGAACAGATGTTTCACTGCTGTTCATTGTTCTGAGACTGTGATCAACCCTCCGTATTGAGGTAGCCAACCCAGTCAGCCCTCCACTCTAAATCTGGTACTGTTGAATGCCAGGTCTGTATCCAATAAACCCCAGATGATCTATGATCTTATCCTGGAGGAGGATGCAGACCTGGCATGCATAACCAAGACGTGGATTAGTGGGGAGGGTGGCCCTCTCCTGGCTCTCATCTGCCCTCCTGGTTATGCTGTCCAGCCCCAGGGTAGACTGGAGGGGCGGGGGGGGGAGTAGCCATTGTTTACAAATCCATCTTAGAGGTTACTAGGGGCTCCTCGGTGGTAAAGCCAGGGCTAGAGGCACTCCATGTGTCGATTGGGGCTAGGGATGGGATTGGGATTTTGCTGGGTTACCGTGCTCCCCGCGATCCAGCCACTTCCCTACCGGAGCTGGCCGACGTCTCCGCGGCATCGTTGGGATCCCCGAGGCTTTTGGTCTTGGGTGACTTCAGCGTGCACACGGGGGCAGAGACTACTGGGCCAGCTCTTGAGTTATTGGAAACCATGGCTTCCTTGAACATGTCCCAGCATGTCATCGGCCCCACCCACGTGGGTGGCCATACATTGGACCTGGTCTTTACCACTAATTGGAACTAGTGTGATCTGATGGTGACTGACCTCGTGTCGGTCCCCTTGTTATGGTCAGACCACCACCTAATAAAATGTAACCTCGCAGTGGCACTTCCCCCTCGCAGGGAGCAGGGACCTATTTCTGTGGTCCGCCCTCGAAGGCTACTGAATCCTGCTGAATTCCAGGATGCCATGAGAGGTGTTACAGGTGACCTGGCTAGTGCTCCTGTCGAGGCTCTGGTTGACAGCTGGTCCATCGCTCCCAGTAGGACTATAGATATGATCGCTCCTAAACACCCGCTCCTGCTCAGAACTCGGCCTGCGCCCTGGTTCTACCAGGAGCTCCGAACGATGAAGCGATATAGGAGAAGGCTAGAGCGTAGGTGGAGGAAGAACCCAACAGACTATAATTGGATATCTGTTAGGATCGCAACTAACCTTTACCTAAGGTAAAGGCTGCATGTCGATCATTCTTCGCTAACCGGATAAGCGAAGCATCAAATCAGCAGGCTGAGTTATTCCGTATAGTGTGCGACCTATCTGGAACTGGTTCAGGTGATAGGCCTCCCCCTAGTTTTTCACCTGACCAGTTTGCAGCCTTTTTAAAATCTAAAGTGGAGGCCATCCGCCGGGAGCTCTCTCCTTTTTTGAATACAGTGAGTCGAGCAGAGATGTCTCTGCTTTGCCCAGGCACTTTTGACACTTTTCAGCCTGTAACGCCTGACACTGTGGACAAGGTGCTTGACCGCTGCCTGGCCACCACCTCCTCCCTTGACCCTTGCCCGGCCTGGCTAATCAAAGCAGCCAGGCTGATAACAACGGAATGGGCCACCGCAATAATAAATAGGTCTTTCCTTGAAAGTAGATTTCCATCTGCCCTTAAGGAGACACTCATTAGGCCCATTCAAAAGAGACTCAATATGGTGGTGGACGAAATTGGCAATTATAGGCCTGTTGCCAATATTTCTTTCATGAGCAAAGTGGTCAAGAGGGTGGTGGCTGATCAGCTTCAGGCTTACTTGGATGAAACAGATGCCCTGGATCCGTTCCAGGCAGGCTTCAGGCCGCGCCACGGTACAGAGACCGCATTGGTCGCCCTGTACGATGACCTGTTGAGGGAGGCCGAC